AAAAAAAAAAAAAAAAAAAAAAAAAGCAAAACAAAAACGAGGCAACTACCTCCTTAGACAAAAAGAAACAGTCTTTTGATTGTGTGGGAGCAAGAAGAGCTCCACTTCGAATTGGGAAGAACGACTGTAGCCGCGAGATCTCAGATCTCGCGGCTCACAGCGCACGAGTGGAGGAGATGGGACTTAGGGAAAGAGAGGGAGGAGGGACGTGAGAGTTGGGAGGAGGAGGCCGTACTCCTCCCAAACTGACAACTGCCCTGCTCGTTTTCAGGGGAGGGCAGAGCAAAAGGTGGAAGGTTGTTGCATGCAACTGCATGCACCTGGCTGAGGTAAGAGCCGAACAATGAAAATTAGTAGTTAGTTTTTTATTTCTTTTTTTTTTTTATTCATGTGAGGACACTTGTCCTCACGTGGTGCTACCTCTGGCACAAGCTGCCAGAGGTAACTGTCAAGCTCCCGTTTTTGCAGGGAGCCTGGAAAATCAAAGGTCACTTAGGAAAAGGCTAGATGCAGCCTTTTCCTCGATGTATCTGCTCTGGAAAAAAAAGGCCAAATACATCAAACTGTAAGGGGCTGTAACTTTCCAACCCCTTATAAGAAAAGTAAAAGAAAAACACTTTTGGAAATGGCAGGAGACCAGCTATCTCGCTAGATTCCGAGATAGCGGGGAAAAAGAAAAAGAAAAATAAAATAGGGCAGTTAAAGAAACTGCCCCACACTAAGGCTGTGGCAGTGGTGCGGCCACAGTCAGTCCTGGATTTAGGCCAGATCAAGGGTTTTTTGTAAGCCCTCGTTTTTGCCTGGGGGCTGGAGTGACGTCCAGCTCCTCTCAACCAATATAAAAAAGGCAGCTGCTTTCCAGCTGCCACACAAAGCATTCGTGCTGCGAGTGTGTGACGAGCACACTTGAGTGCTGGCTGCATGAGCTGCTGCCTGAGGCAACGTGAGGAGGAGCTGGAGGACTGCAGAGGAGCACCAGGAGGAGGACTGTGCAGCCATAGCCAAGGTCGGGAGCACTCTGCTCCCCTCCCCTTTGGCTGGTGCTAGTCCCACGGGACAGGCCCAGTGGAACAACGGTACTACGGCAGGCGGCACAGGCTTTTACTACGGTAGTACGAGAGTGCTGCCGAAATTTTGCTGCGGCGGCACAGGCTTATACTACGGTAGTACGAGAGTACGACCGAAATTTTGTTGCGGCAGGCCTGTTTTTTTCAGTGGTGGTGCGGAAGCGCTGCAAGTTTTTTGCGGCGGCAGGCCTGTTTTTTCAGTGGTGGTGCTGGAGCGCTGCCGGTTTTTAGCGGCGGCAGACCTGGTTTTTCAGTAGTGGTACGGAAGCGCCACCGGGTTTTCTACGACGGCGGTTCCGGGTTTACGGCAATGGTGCGGTAGCGCTGTCGGAATCTTTCGACGGTGACTCCGGTTTAACCAGCCATGCACTGTGAAAATTTTACGGCGGCGCAGGCTGTCGCGACAAGTGGTCGTTCTAAGGAGTGGTGTGGATTGTTTTGCGGGCGACTCATTGCGACAATCGTCTTCTCTGGAGTGTGATTTACACGGTCTTCATGAGTGGGTTGTTTCTTCAATTTCACTCAAGGTTAGTCAGTTAAATTGACCCAGTTCCCTTCACACCTGAGTGAACCCACACTTGCTTTGACCTGTTTTACTGAATGTTCATTGAAAAGGGAAAGAGAATGTGTGCGTTTGCGTGTATGACAGGGAGTCTGACAATAGAAAGGGATCGCATGGTGGTCTGTGTGTCGTTGGGTTTTGACTGCAGGTACGACAAATGGACTGGAATGGATAAGGGTGATAACGGTGAAAGAATGGTTGACTTTTCATCTTTGTGCTTATGTTCTATTTATAAATAAAAGAAAAAGAAGACGACGAGAAACGAAGCAAGCATAAGGAGGAGAAAATTCAACTTGGTTTAGACTTATTCCTGAGGTTACCCATTCTTTTCCGAATAACCCTCTTCCATTTATGCCTGTCAGTCTGAATGATTCTATCTTTCTACGATTCCTCTTTCTTCGTCTAAGTTTACTTTGACGCTAGGCGGCAAGACTCTACTTGTCTGCCGTGTAGGTGTTTCTCTTTTTCTAGGAGGCATCTGGGGCGGGGGTTCGTTGCCTTAGGGGCCGGCCCTGTTATCGACTCAGAGTGGACCGCTTTGCTGGGGGGGTACTATGCCGATTGGTGGAGACGGTCCGACTTCTGAGATCCGAGCTTTGTACTCGGGCGAGGAGAAGGAGTATCTCAGACCACCTCTTAGGGTAATGGAAAAGACATCCACACGGAAGAAAATTATTTCTTGACGCCTTACGAAAAAGAAAAACTGCCTTAGCAATCCTGTTTAAGTGGTCACCCTAGGTACCACTAACGTATGGAGAGTTGGCGCCACAAGTAGCCCGACTCATGTTTCACTAGCTGAACGGAGTACTTTTAGATACTCCTGACGAGGTTGGTCGTGCCATAAGAAGCACGGGCCAGAAGGAAGATAAATGTTTTAGTGATACTTACTTTTAACTTAATCACATTTGTCATCTTTTTCTGTAAGATGGTTATGGGAACCACAAAACTATTCCTTTTCAACAATAGTGATGCGGCAGCAAAGAGAGTTGAATTCCTAAGGCGTGATGGAGTGAGGGTAGAAAGGATATGCCGACTTATTTATAATCCGTCAAAATTATATTCTGAAGATGACGTTCCGCGATTTTGGGGTGGTAGTGCGCAAAGACCCCCAGACGACTTGTTTTCAGGAGTGATAACAACCTGGATATTATTCGTTACGAGTGCCAATAGGTACGCAATAATAGGGGCTGATGCATTATATGATGATGAATTGGAAAATGAAGCGGAAAAACTCGAGGAGTTTTTTACGTAATTGATTTAAATTCGTTCTGACACGCAGATGCCTGAAGCACGACGAGACTTGACGATCCCGAGGTATCTGCTGGTTCGTGATACACACGAGGAGGATCTTATCAGGAGTGCGACACAACTTTTACGAGTACGGGATGGATCTTCTATCGACTGGTTCGGCTTCATCGAACTGCTTCAAAATGGCGAGGGATTTTTCCCTACTACTCGCGCAGATTTCCGAGCCAACATGGCTCGGATTCTCGACGAGCTTTACGGATATACTTTGTATTTCTACCGCGCGAGTAACCTCCAATGCCTCTCTCGAGTCATTGTGAGTATCAAGATTACCTCGTCCGGTAGGCGTTTCGGCGTCGTCCGCATCCGGGACACAGAGACTCGACATCTGTTTGGACTTAGTCAACCTCTCCGAGTTATAATTTGGAGACTAGCCTCTCGGATGACCTCCTTCTATAATACTCGGATTGTTAGAGTCATGCGATGTGGACGAAGGTCTACTTTGATTTTCGACGGCGACGAGTTGGCACGTTTGGATTTATTGGAGACACAGGTGCGAGGCGGGCGAGATATTAACCAGGATTAGACATCGTTTTCTGAAATCTTACTCAGATTTCATAAAATACTTCGCATGGACTCAGTCCCGTTGAGGAAACCATATAACTTATGGTTTCACGAGGTGATCTAAAAACAAAAAACAAAACACTTTAAGTAGTTAGGACCGCCGGATGGATAGTATTCGGATTACCCCGATGATTTCACTATCATGCTTATGCATTGAGGGGTAATCGTTCGCTAAAAAATAAGTTGGATAAAGTGAAAAGCGGACGTCTGAAAAGGTGGTCAAGCAAAACAGCGGAAGATGAAAAATTTCTGTGTTGCGTAACTTGGCATTAGAGATGGATACTCCAATATTCGTGGAACAGAAAGAGTTATTATTGTATTGGAGGGCAGAGCGACCAACAAGGTTGTTACTCGCTCCTCCAAAATAATTTAATATGATACGGAAGCACGGTCGAACCGGGAGTTCAAACATCGACCAGAAACCAGATCACTTGTCGATCCGCATGGTGCCAGTAATATTTATTTACAAAAGCTATTCATGACAAGTTTCCGTAGTCACGACAAGAAAATCATTCTTAGTTTATTTCTTTAAATTAATAATCTTGGAATGACAACATAAAAAGTTCTTTCAGTCATACAGGTTGAAAAATAGAGACTTTGGCAGACCAGCTCATTAAGTCAACGATTTGGATTGTGTGATTTTGTATTTTTTAGTATGGGGATTTTTGTTGTTTGATTACTAGGGACTAAGGATTGTTTTTCACGTTTGCTTGAGAATGTCCTAGTCGATTGGCGTACACTTCGTACTTGGGAGATCAGCGCCCCAGGGAACGAACGACGCACGGGTTTATTCGGCGTTTAGTCAAACAATTCCTATATTGCAGCGAGACGAGCAAACGCCCTCGGCTGATCTACCTCTGCGATTGCACATAAAAGCCTTCGCACGTGGATCAGTCGCTCGGTAGGGATACGCCCCTCAGGGTGGTGACAGCCCCTTAGGGATGCAAGCTTATGCCCCGCGGGAACCTGTCTTGTCGTAGGGGAGCGTGGGATGTATAGTTGGCGCACCCGGCTAGAGCGGCAAAGGACCGAAGCAACCGTGTCCGTCTCGGTGGTTCACGGAACAGTATGCGTCGTTCCCGAGTTGTCTCTAAAAGTTATGTTTTAAAGTAAACTCCTGCGTGACATGGCCGGGAGGGCCCTCGTTTTTCACGCGAGGGCCGATGCACTCGACAGGTGGCAACGTTGCCGGGGATGACGGCAAATTACCGTTGTCCGTAGCGGAACGACACTTGGAAGATTTATGGAGTAAAAAGTTATTTTTTGTTCTTTGTTTGACCTCAGAAAAAGTCAGTAAATTAATCCCAAAATTATGAGAAATTATTTATGCAGAAGGATTGACTGAATTTTGTTAAATATGTTGTTGTGATTTTTTTATCTTCACTCAAGATGGCTGATAACAACAACAATCAGGATGAGAGAAGCAATGACAATCGGGAGCTTGCAAGGATTATCCAGCAGTCCCAAAAGGATCAAATCCCGAAGATTGACGTTCCATTGTTTGATGGTAACAACGCCTTGGGATGGGCAGAAAAATTCGAGCAATTGGGAAGTTGCTGCGAATGGTCGAATGAAAAGATGCTGCGAATGGTAAAGAGATACTGCAAGATCCAGTACAAGGAAGAGGTGGAGGAGTTTGTACAAGAATCGCGGGACCGGTCAGAATTCAAAAGGAAGCTGCTAGAAAAATACCAGTTGAGCGACCAACTGTTGGACCTAACTAATTTGAGGATAGTCAGTCGTAAAAGCTATGGTACAACAAAGTAGTTCCTTACTGAATTCGAGCGGGTGGCGAGGTTAGTTTCTGACCTTCCAGATAAGGATCGTTGTCTCATCTTTCTGGATAATTTCTCGGAAGTGGAGCTGCTAAAATTGGTAAAAGGCATGAAGGAGAGATATGATTGGCAAAAAATTCGAGAGAATTTATTGGCCGGGAACTTCGACCAGATCCTCTATGGAGTGCTGAAACAACAGAAGGAGAATCGGAAAAAGGTACAAATGGGTTCAGATAAAGACAAGGAGGTCTATATGACCTTATCTGACATGAGAGAAATGATGAGCAGTATGAAGGAGGAGCGGTTAAAGCTTCAAGTAATGATGGCCAAGGCAAAAATTGGGAAGAGAAAGAAAAAAAGTCGGTCACTGAAGAAAGCAACAGTGAGAGTGACAGCGAGGAAGAAAAGGAACCTCATCGGAAACTGACCAAGGCTGAAAGGAAAGCCTTGAATCAGATACAAGGAGGGCAAGGTACTTCTCGTAAACAAGGAGAAAGTAGCAAGAACGGAGGAAATGGAAGAGGGGAGCGACAGGTTGATCAAGGACAGCAAAATCAAGGTCAACAGACTCAACCACAGGGTGGTCGAGGTCGTGGTAAGGGACGCGGAAACGGAGGCGGACGTGGGAACTGGCAAGAATACGTCTGCAAATATTGCGATATGAAGGGGCACGTTATTCGTTTCTGCCAGATTCTCGCCAAGGACGAGAAGGACCATATCGTCTTCACGACGATTCGAGGAGAAGTCTTTGACTTCGAGGGAAATCTTATCGATCAGGATATTGAAGGAAGAAGGAGAAAAAAGGCTTTTCGACGGATGGGCCGTCCTCTTCTGGCCACGTTCCGCCTAGCTTCTCCTGAAGAAGCAAGTCTTTTTGAGTTCGAAGAAACAATGGCTTCTCTGGAGATTGGTGGGTGTGACGAAAAAAAGTTGAAGGAAAGGAAAAAAAACATTGCTCATCGGGCGCGAGAGGTAACCAGGAAACTAGACAAATGTCGAGATTCCATTGTTCAATTATGTGTTGATATGGATAGAGTCTGGCCGAACCTTCCTAATGTGTTCCTTTTTGGTGGATGGGGAAACGAAGGTCAGGATGGGTCTGCACCTGCGGCCGCTTCGGCACCTGAAGCAACGCCAATGACCCGAGTAATGACGATGTCCAGACCTGTACTCAAGCGAGGGATGCCAACCGTCCTGGTGCAGACGAGGAAAGGAAGGAAGACCTCACAATCGCAGCCTGCGCCTGGAGAGAGTTCAAGGGGACCTCAGGAAAAAGAACCTATTCAGATAGAAGAAGGGGATGATAATGAGGAGGATGAAAGATTGCGAGCAGAGGATGAACTGCTAGCAAAGCAAAGAGCTATGGAAAGAGCGTCGGAAGCAGGGAAGACCCAGGTCGAGGAAGAAGAACCTCGCAAAAAGAAGAAGAACGTGTACTCAATTCCTGTTGAACAAGGGATTGATTTTGAACAGCTGGTGGATCGTATTCTGGAAAGTCAGCGTGATCTGGTTACCATGAAGGAAATTCTTGCAGTATCGCCAAAGTTTCGCGAGGAATTCAAGCAATGCATGACTCGGAAGAAAGTCATGACAGTTAAGCTGAGTGAGATTATCCCTCCAGAAGCTAACTAGGCACCTCCTGGCACAAAGATGGACTGGCGATGCGTGGCCACAGGCCTCATAAAGGTTCAAATCGGCCGTGAAGAGTTCTCGGCTCGCATAGACGATGGGGCCAAAATGAACATCATGAGGGAGAGGCATGCGATTGAAGCTGGAATTCAGATCAATCGCAATGACTTTGGATATTTGATTGAAGTCAGCGGGGCAACACCATTTTGCGGTACTGCTAGTGGCGTGATCGTCACAGTTGGGAAAGTAAAAGCGAGATCGTACTTTTGTATATTGCCAAAGGTTGAGCACGAAGTGCTTTTGGGAAGATCCTTTCAATGTCGCACAGAGAGCATAATCTTCAACAAGCACGACGACACCATGTTTGTAGCTTTATGCGATCCGGTTTGCGGCTATTATGAAGTGGTAAAGTGCGCAAATACCGGACCAGCAAATTCAAGGAACCGGTTGAATCCCGAATCATATACCTTTTTAGAGTCTGAGAAGTCAAGGAAGGAGAAAGAGGCGATCGATGAAGAAAAGGATCCTCAGGAATTTTCGTTGACATTGCCTAGTATCTCGCAGACAGTCGATTTTGCAGCAAGCCATCCTACAATTGATCCGAGTCTGGTACAGGCCCTGATGAAGGCTGTGGTTGACAAGGAAGGTGAAGGAACCATGCATCTTGTTTATCGGCCAAACGAATCTCGTATGGAGGAATCACTGCCATCAGCCAGGCAAGAGTCTTTTTTAGGGGACGGAAGCTTGGCGTTGGCTCGAAGAGGAAGTATAAGAAAGTAGGGGAGAAAGCGCGACCAGAGCCAATTCTGATCACTTAGAAAAAGGAAGTGTATTACAAGGAAGAACGCGAGTGGATCAGAACATTGAAGGAGAAAAAGTGAGAGGGGACCGTGTCGGTTGACAGAAGACAGGATCAAAGAGATGATCATTGGAGAGGATGACCTCCTTACCAAGGAGGAAACCCAATTCTTTATCGACGTTATGAGGAAAATTCATCTGGCTTATGCTTTTGATGATGATGAGCGTTGAAGGTTGGACGTCGATATCATTCCAATGATCCGGATTTATACGGTACCGCATGAGCCATGGAATGTGAGAGGTCCACGATATCTGAATCCAGACGATCACCGGAAGTGGATTATCTTGATGGAAAAATTCGGACCAAAGTGGCAGACTATTCGTATGGGCCGTATGCATCCCCTCGGTTCTGCTTCATCAAGCCGAACGGTGTTTTACGATGGGTTCATGACCTGCAGAAATTGAATTTTGTAACAGTCCGAGATGCAGGTGGACTTCCGAACGCCGACCAACTCTCGGAATCTTGTGCAGGCCGGCCCATCATCACCTTAATTGATTTGTATTCAGGGTATGATCAGTTTTCGCTGTACACAGCGGATCGACCTATGACGGCGATGCACACGCCTCGGGGACGTGGCAATTGTGCAGAGATATATGATGAGAGTCATGCAGCCGCTTTGTCTGGACGTGACTTCTCCATATATCGATGATTCGGCTATCCCAGGACCGCAAGTCAAGGACGAGACTGAAGTGTTACCCGGCGTTCGAAAGTTCGTATGGGAACACATCAGTAATGTGGAAAAGGTTCTGAGGAAGCTGAAGGAATATAACCTCACTGCTAGTGGGGTTAAATCAAGGCATGGTATGAGGAAGGCAGTAATACTTGGTTTCCTTTGTGATGAGAAGGGTCGTCGGCCAGATATGAAGAAGACGAATAAGATTTTGGAATGACCAACTCCCTTCAGATCTATTACCGACATTCGGAGTTTTCTTGGGACTTGCGGATTTTGGCGTATTTTTATCCGCAGATTCACAGCAAGGGTGGAACACTTGCGGAAGTTAGTACGCAAGAACCAAGTCTGGGAGTGGGGACCGAAGCAGCAGGTAGCCGTTGAGGATATTAAAGCTGAGTTTCGAGAAGGCGGTCTGATTCTGGGAGTTTCTTGCTTTGATGATGTTGAAGGTCGTCCTTTCATCATCGAGACCGATGCAGGTCCTACCGCTTTGGGAGGAGTTTTGGTCCAAAAAGATGGGGAAGGACGGGAACGACCATTGAGGTTCGAGAGCAGAACTCTGAATATCACTGAGCGGAACTACTCCCAGTTCAAGAAGGAAACTCTCGCTGTGCTTCACTGTCTACGCATTTTCAGGAATTATGTATTTGGTAGGCGGTTCATTCTGCGAGTTGATCCTACGGCTCTAGCTCAATCGTTGAAGAACTATTCTCCTTCTGATTCAACCATGGCTCGATGGCTGACGTATATTTGGATGTTCAATTTTGAGATTGAGCGCATTTTAGGCACTCAGAATCGAGCAGATGGATTGAGTCGTGTTGATTGGGACTCATTGACGGATCAGGCTGAGGACTTAGTTCCTGTCGATGGATTCCTCGAAGGAGAAGAGTCACAGTTGAGTATTAACTCATACAATTACTTGGCGGACGCAACAACCCGGAATGGGAAAACCATCTGGAATGCTTCTTGTTTTCATCATGTGCGATCAGATCTCGTGATTGGGGAGCCGTTCATTGAGGAAGACCCATGGGGTGAAAGAACATCTGAGCAAATGATGAACTTGGCTTTGTCTGATGAAGTCGAAGAGCCGCTGACGATTGAGTATGGGCATGAGCAGGCTGATAAGACCTTCAGGATCACTGGAGAGATGTCATTCCTAGTGAATTCTCTAATTCACGAGGACCGCCTGAAAATGATGAATGAAGAAGCGGAAGGCAGTGAAATCAGAGAAGCTTTTAGAGAAGGAGAATATGATGGGGTGTATAAATTATAGGAATGTGGTTGAATGGTGAGTTGAGGGAGGATGAGGTGGATCCAGTTGTTCGTCAGAAGAGTAAGGACTTAGTTGTCAGATATGGTCATCTTTTCAAAAAATTCGGCGGTGATATTCCGAGAAGAGTGGTATGTGGGGTTACGCGACAACTTGATGTGATTGCGGCTTTGCATGATGGGGTCGCAGGCGGACATAGATCGGCACAAGTCACTTTGAAAAAGATTCAACATCTTTATTTTTGGGAAGGAATGAACAAGATGTTAAATGACTTATATAACTCTTGTCTTCCTTGCCAAAGACGATCTAATCTGCGTTTTGTTGAACCTCTTAATCCACGCTATGTCGCTGAGTCAGGAGCAGTAGTACACCTTGATCTGTTAGTCATGCCACCTGGGATAAATAGGTACAAATATATCTTCAACACAAGAGATAATCTGACTGGGTTCGTTGATGGCTGTGCCATTCGCGAGCGTACTGGGCATGTTTTAGCAGAATGCATTGAGGAATATTATCTTCGGTACCCATTTGTACGGGAAATTGTCATGGATCGAGGTGGTGAGTTTCGAGCTGGAGAAGTGCAGGCGCTTCTGAAGAAACGTGGAGTAAGCTTTAGCTATACTACAAGGGCACATCCCTAGGCCAATGCGCCAGTTGAACGTGGATATGTCACTCTAACAAATTTGTTGGCTAAATGGTGCGGAGACGATCCTTCAAGATGGCCGATATATCTGAGAACGGCATTCTTTGTTGAGAATGTCACCATAAAGCGGACAACTGGATACGCTCTGGTCACATTGTGGTTTGGACGACATGCAACTTTTTCGATCGAAAGTTTTCTGACCACTTGGAGAAAGCAGGATGTGAAAACGAAGCTTTCAACGGAGGAGTCGTTGGAATTGAGGGCAAGACAAGTGATGATCACTGAGGAAATGATTGAGGAGGCCGCTGCCTCTACTGCAGAGAGTAGACAGACCGACAAAGAAAGATGGGATAAAAGACCTCGTGTTCGAAAGGAACCGTTAGTAGTAGGGGATATCGTACTTCTTTATGATTCGTCCTTGGAAAAACAATGGTATCGAAAATTGGACAGTCGATGGTTGGGGCCCTATCGTATTATCAAGAAATTTTAGCATGGGGCTTATGAGATCGAAGAGTTGGATGGGGCTCGAGGTAGAAATTGGGTGTCGGGATCGCATTTGAGAAAGTTTATTCCAAGGACTTAATAAAAGGGTTTGTAGTTAGAATAGATAGTGGATAAAAGAGACTTGCTTTTTCCACTCTCTTTCTTACATTGGATCACAAATTGCTGACTGGTTCTGAGGACAGGCAAAGGAAATTGTAACTTTGGACTCTTGGGTTTTTTATTTAATTTTGGGACCTATGGTTCCATGTTTTGTATAATTAATAAATTCTGCGACTCCTGATCGTGAAATTGTGTTGTGGTTTTTGGATCAGAAATCTGTTATGCTTGTTACTTTTTTCGATGAAATGTGATGCAATGCAAATTTATGAATATTTTTTTGGACTGGAATGTATAGAACTCTCTGTGGAAATGTATATTGTTATTTGGTGTATATTCTTGTTATAAAAAGTTCTAGGAGGATGATATGTAATTTGCATCATATGGCTTGGAGGATAACTTCGTGTGTTATTTGCTAAGGCATGTACTGCATTTATTTATCATAGCCTAGAACTTTCGTAATGTTTTGTTAGTTATCATGGTATGATGAGTCCTGATGCAGTAAGCTCTGTAGGTGGTAGTGAGGCCTACGCTGAAACTTGTTCCTGGTCCATAGTGAGATGCTGTCACTTTTCCTTTTTAAGGAAGGTGGCTACACTATCATTGAAAGAGAGGAAGATATTATTGTAATTGTTGGAATCTTGCTTGTAAGCGTGACGACTGCCGCTCGTCATGGGGGAAGGAGTGGTCACCTTGACCTTGTGAGGAATGGGGTCGCCTCGCATCTATGGCCGGGTCTGACCAGCCTAGGTCATAGAGAAAGGGTAGTTCAACCTTGCAGGTAGAGGACTGACAAGCACATGATACTGGAATCGGAGGGAAGGTGGTGAGGCTCGAGTCTAAAGCGGGGCTTGACGTCGAGATGTTATCCCTTGAGGATTACAACACTCCTCGACCCATATCACAAAGCATGCAGAAAAAATGTCATATGTGATAACTCGTAATTGGAACGGGATACAAAATGTGGACAAAGACTTTTGATAAATGGTTTCTCTCATGAATGGTTGGTTCAGATTTTGTCTGGGCCGCTCAGGAGGTTATTTATTTTGAAATATCCGTCAGGGGGTTAAACCTGACTCTTTTTTTAGATAAATAAACCGACTGAGGCTTACAAGGCTAGCCGGAGGCTATTTCCAGTACCATTCCGAGAGACTAAAATAATGTTTAGAGTTGCCGACAGTGGGATGATGCTGGAACCATTTAGACAAAGTTCCTTGAAAATTTTAGTGATTCCGGAACTTGAACCGGTATAAATTCAGGTTTTGGTGAAAGGCTTGCCAGAGGCTACATCTGGTACCATTCCAATCAAGGATGATTGAATTTTAGATTACCGAGGCAATAACTCGAATTTTAGTTATAAGCTTCGACTTATTTTCGATTGAAAGAGATTTTGTTGAAAAGAGTTCCATAAGAATCCAGAGAGCCCTATATTGTTGACTAATATAGGGTGAACGACCGGGACGTTGTTCAATGGGGTTTCGGATTGCTGTCGGGACAAAAACCCTGACAAGGGTATTTGCCAGTGTTTTTGAACGGTGGACGTTGTCCGACTCTTGTGTTGAATTGAAGGACTTGATGAGACTGGCGTTCGCCAAACGCTTATTCAGACATGGCCTATGACTAAGAGACAAAACTTTTTCAGACTTTAGTTCGGACGCGTGTGACGTCCGGGGGTAACGGATGTAAATGGTAACGCTTCGTTTTGTCGAAGCCGAAGGAACGTGCGGATAAGGGAATGCTAAAATTAAACCTATCCTACCTAAAATAATGTCGCGCGGCTGCTAAGCCGCGCAATTCAGGGCCTAAATAGGCTCGAAAAAGCTGGCCACGGCACACTCAGGATAAGCCGCCCGATTGAATGGGCGGCAGTGTGTGTGCTGCGGACCAGGAGGCCGCCGTACCGACAGCAGCGCAGCTGGTGTTGGGAGAAGAAGCCGACAAGGCCTGCCTTTGGTCGTGGCTGGGTAGCCTGCTGGGCTACCACCCTTCATATAGAAGGGTAGCAGGCTTAGCTTCCGTGAAAAGGAGCTAGCCCAGTAGGTTACCATGCCAAACTCTTACCCTGTAGGTACAGGGATCAAAGTCGCCGGGCCCTACTGGGCGCAGCTCCTTTTGGAGCTGCATTTTGGACGACGCGGTCAATCTTGACCGCACGATCACGCAGATCGCGTGGCCGAGATTTGGCCGCGTGTAGCCTTGCATGGCCCGTGCGCAAGGATGACACGCATAAATCGAGAAATGGCCCAAATTGTTTTTTCGATTCCCCGAAGGGAATCGAACTCGGGTCTTTATTTCAACAAGGACGCTGCCGGTGGCGTAAGCCAACGACTTTCTTGAGCTGCGCCATATGGCGCCTCCTGGGAGAGAGGGCTGAGGACTGTAGTCCTCAACACATTTTAGAGGGCGCCCGTTTTCAACGGGCAGCCGTTTCATCACAGGTACGTTAGTTTTCTTTTTTTTTGGTTTTATTGTTTTAGATTTTTTTTTACTTAAATTTTGATTTTCTTTTCTTAGATTCAGTTTATATATAT